AATTGACTGTGGTTCATTCCAGTGCTGTAGCTGAATATCGATTTATGACATCTACTACTGCAGAATTGACATGGCGTTGTTTTATTCTTCGGGGTATTGGGTTGCCTCTTCTTCAGCCACCAACACTTTTTTGTGACAATATTAGTGCTCTCTACATGATAGTCAATCCTGTTTTTCACGTACGGAAAAAGCATATTGAGTTAGACTATCATCTTGTGTGCGAAAAAGTTGCACTTGGATTACTTATCACTCATTTTGTTTTTTATCGCAATCAAGTAGGTGATATCTTTACCACGCTTTTGCCACGATATGTTTTTCGAGATATTTGCTTCAAACTCGGACTTCAAATTCCTTCCCAGCTGAGTTTGAGGGGGAGTAAGAAAAATAAAATTAAAAAATTGTAACAAGATAGAAAATATAGGAAAGTGTATATTACATAGGAAAAATGGGAAAATGTATATTGCATATGAAAAAATAAGAAAGTGTATATTGCATATGACAATATAGGAAGATATATATTATAACATTGTATTATTATATATACAATAAAAGAGCCACCATAAGATTTATGTGGGGCATAATTATTTTTTCAAAAGTTTCTCTCTCTCTAAAATTCTTTAGTTGAATGTCCCGGATGTTTCGAAGTAACCACAAGCTTTTCCATTGAAAATGATTGAAAAATGCATTGAAGGTGTACATCATTTGATCCAAGTCCTCCAACTTTTGCGAAAACACAATAACTTTGATTTTATCAAGGTTTTCCCACTCCACTCTTTCATGAGGCTTCACAAATTCCATCTCGAGAAATGCATCTTTTTTTCCCATACTTCTTGTGGCATTACTTATTCTGCGAAGAAAACCCCATCCATAATTTGGCGATATTTGATAAATGCAGTTTGGTGGCCTTGTACCACTTCATTTAAAACTCTTCTAGTCTACTTGCCAACATTTTTGCATAGAAGTGCTGAACTACAGTAGAAAGTCCTTCTTCATTATATCTCAATACTCTTGAAAGAAAGCCATGAAAAAACCATCTGGTCCTAGCGTTTTATCTCAGGGCAAGTACTGCTTCCTTCACTCAAACAATGTTGAATTTTGCTCAATTATCTGAGAGCCTGTTGAAGGGCACTTCTTCCAAATTAAAAAGCAATCAGGGTTCGGAGGTGAATGCTTTTTTTCCAAGTGGAGGACAATGGCCTTTTCAATAGCTTTATTATTATCTTGATTGACCCTTGGTACAACTAATCTACTTAAAACTATTAGATCTCTTTGGCAATCGCATGCAAATATTTAGTATTCTCATTTACCTATTTTGATTGTGTAATTCCTATATTTCTACGTGCGAAAAAATTGAGACTCACACTACCCTTGTAAATACAAACAACCATTCCCTAATATCAACGTAGATGAGGAGTGCTGCGAACTTACCCAAAAAGTGGAAAAGAAATAATCGCAATTATGGAACTCTCCATGATGCTTGGATGATTTTTTTTTTTTTTTGCAACTAGTATTTTAAAATCCGGCAATCTGGATCGAGAATCGTTCATCTAGCTTGAGATTCAGCCTAGACCGAAATGATTATTAGTTCCAGCTTCGACTTAGTTACAGCCCTTGAAGATGAATTTGTCACAATTGCCCCAACAAGACTCAATACGAAGGCTACCTACAAACATGCCCTAATCTATAAAAAAGCAATTAAGGGATACAAATGATTTTTTTTCCCTCTAACCTGGATGAAAGACAAGATATACATGGTAGCACTCATATTAACTATTTAAAATATTATGAAACCATTTATTTTAGTACAAAAAAGTCACAATCATTTGAACTCATTAGATATGAAATTCAATAGATAAAAGTGTGTCACAATCATTTCAACTCATTGAATATGAAATCCAATAGATAGAAATGTGTCACAATATTCAAAATATTTTATTTTTGACTTTATGCCCAACCAATACTGCATCTTGATTCAAATCTAATAGTCAATGATGATTGTGACATTTTTGTGGCCAGCCCGCATATTTTAGAAATGCGGGCTTGGCAATAAATATTGTTTTGAATGTAATTTGATCCTAATATTTAGATAATATATCTTTAACCTGGAGATTATGAATATGAAAAGAAAAAAAAATAAAAAAATGAAACTAGAAATAATAATTATATTAAAAGAACATTTAGACCCTCAGTTACACTTGTTTTTAGATAGACCACCTATTGGCATCCATCTTTAAGATGAATGTTTTATACTTTGGACCACATATTGTAGAAATGCAGTCCAGCCCGCATGAAGCAATTTTCCAAAAATAAATAGTCTCTTTGTAGATAATGTTAAAAAAAAAATCAGATGGGTGCGCTGCACGGGTCACCAATAAGTTCCGAATCTAGCCGGCCGAGTCCACGACCAAATTAAAAGAAGAAAAACAAATTAAACAAGGCTTAGGAACTACAAATCATTATTTAAACAGAAGTTTTATAACAAAACCTTTTTAATATGATCTATGGGTGTACTACGCAGATGAATCCAAGGAAAAACTGTACTGGGATGGTTACTCGAATTAATTAATTAATATTATTATAATTATTATTATTTTAACATTGACACAAAATAAAAAGGAGTAGTTTCTATAAAGTTGTAACCTTAAACAATCCAATTAAAGTGCACCTTTAAATTTTATCATAACACATAATTTTGATGTAAAATATTCTAAGGATTATCTCAAAACCTATTTTTATATTTAATTATAAAATTTTAAACTCCAAAAATGATTAAAATCAAGTAGATCTATAAACATATTGAAAACTTAAAAATGGACGGTCTGGATAATGTATTGTAAGATGCATTATTTATGGGACTCAATCGTTTTTTTTAGTCATAGCCATACATCTCGATGTCGAGATGATCAATTAGAGGGTTTTTCAACATTAAAACAACCTTTTCCGATGGATTTTTGAGATGCATCCATAGTTCTACATTTTAAAGTTGCACCCTTATATAAACTTTATCCTTAAATAGTCTCATGGTATACCATCTTTAAGCAATATATGCCTTCCCACAACAAAAAAACAGAAAAGAAAAACGTTATATACCCAAGAAAGAGGCGCCCTCCTGATTTCATTCACCAGCTTGCAGATGCATAATAAAGATCTTTAAATCTCACACAAGGAAAAAACATAAAACTAAATAAAAAAAAGAAAAGAAAAAAAAGGAAAGCCCTTACAAATTTCCCATAACAATAGCTCAAAAATGGCACAAACTACAAACAAATCCCTCTCTCTGTCTCTCTCACAGAAGAAAAAGAACTCACCATTATAGGAGCTCCTCTCTCTCTCTCTACATGAACAAGAAGAAGGTAAGCAGCAGGTTAACCTTGGAATTGACAGGCCAATTCAAGCAAACCCAACGCATCGATGCATGAAGGAAGCTCGATCATGTTGAAACGGACGGCCGAGAGATACGCATTGTTCCATGATTTGCACACGATTCTCACTCCTTCATAAAGCTCTGTCTCCTCAATTTTTAAGAATATATTTATCAAACAGTCTCTATCCATATCCTCCCACCTCCTCTCTCTCCTCGCCTCCTCCTCCTCGCCCTGTTTTTCATTCTTCACTCTCTCTCCTCCCTTTTTTGCTCCTTCATTCTCTCTCTTCCTCCCAGCCATTCTTTTTCTCTCTTTTCCAAGATTGAGATTCACAGGTTCTTGCTCAGAGTATGGGAAGAAAATTACAAATGCACAGGAAACAAGAGGACCTCCCTCTCTCTATCTCTCTAAACCCAAGTCTCAGAATTGAATTTGTACCAATGGGTTCGGGCTTCTAGACCTGTTTGTTCTCTCTCTCTCTCTCTCTCTTCAAACCCAAGCTTCAGATAATGGGGTTCTTGAATTGGAGTCCTCTTTCTTCAAACCCATGTTTCAGATAATGGGGTTCTTGAATTGGAGTTTAGGATCTCTGATCAGAACAAAGGGAGACTGCAAATGCTTAATTGGACCGGAATGAATTCTTTTGCAGGACCCTGCTATGATCCTAGGAGTCGGTCATGGACGAGATGAGAGAGAAACCAAATGCTCGATGGCTCAAAGATGGATGGATGGAACCTGAGTTAGACTCCTAATGCATCCAATATAATAAGCGAAGAGAGAGAAACAGTAGCCTGAACAAAATGATATTTAGGCACTCAATGGATGCAAGATAATATGATGAGAGAGGAACAAGTAAATGATGAAAACAAGGGGTGGAAACAGAGTTCTACAGTAATTGTGATGTATGGAATGAGAGAGAAACAGGCGAGATTGGTGATGAGAAGAAAAACCATTGGAAGACGGAAAGATAAGTGAGAGAAGCAAAATACTTATAGACAATTGATAAAATATTTTCTATTGAAGATTAGAAGGGATGAGAGAAAAACAAGAAACTCGGTCATAAACAGAACGGAAGAAGAAAACAATACAGAGTCTGTGTATTATGTGGTAAATGAAACTAGAAGCAATGGTTAATCCCCACCATCAATTGTTAAGAACCGACGGTGGGTGCCTGGCAGTGTAGTATATAAGTATATACCATGGGGCAGTGTCTGGAAGAAAAAGAGGTTTATCAACGTTCAAAAATAATAAAAATAGAAATAACATAAAGAGGTTAGTTTATCAAATTTACCTAGTTTTCACTTTGTAAACCCATTCATGTTTCATATGGGTTTACTATGTGAAAAGAGTCCAGGCTTAATTGGTTAGTGCTTGAGAATTTGCAATGCTATGCCTTAGGCTCAATTCCTATCGAGGTTAGGGGCCCTCTCCCCACTGACTCACCTAAATAGAAAAAAAAAAAAAAAAGATAAAAATAAAACCCATGTGAAAACATACATAGACAATTCAGATACAAGCTCAATTCTTACCAAGGGTAGGGGCCTCTCCCCACTTACTCACCTAAATAGAAGGAAAAAAAAAACCATGTGGAAACAAACACAGACAATTCAGATACAAATATTCCTCGGGATCAAATGGCATCACAAGAAAATAACTTCATTGCATTAATAATTCACGGAAAAAATACACGAGGATCCAATTCGAGAAGCAAGGTCCCCATAATAAACTGCATGGAGCTCTACATTATTGTACACATACAAGAATCGGAATCGTCCATGTCTTCATCAGAATCACTCGAATCACTGCAACCAATTGTGAACAGGCCACGTATAAGATTAAGGTCCAAAATATGAATAGTAAAACAGTAATTATGTCATCCAAAATCTAGAATAAGGTTAAATTTTTGACGGGAAATAATAAGAGAAACCGTAATACAAAAAATAGATTGATTTCTTTCAGAGATTGGAATAACCAGGTCCAAAATCTAGAATTTTACTTCTTGCACGGTATAGATATGGCGAGCAAAAGAGAGAGAAAGAGATCTGCCCATGAAGTGTTGTTGGGTAAAATCTGCCCATGAAGTTAAATGTATCACAACACCCATTTGTGCCATGTCAAACTTAACAAGCTTTTGCCGGGCAAAGCATGAATGTGAAGAAATGCAATATCGTAGAGTACGGTCACATAACAAGACAACTACCTATAATTTATCATGACAGATTATTGAGGATTTCAATATTGATTTGGAGTTTTATTGTTGCCTACAATTTCCACTACATAAGTTTTTAAATCCAGTTATTGTTGCCTACAATTTCCACTACATAAACGGCTACATTTTGATCTGATTTTGCAGAACTACATGTCGATTGTTTCAGTCAATACTCTAGCTCTCTAATGCACATTTATTCACAAAGTAAGTCTTTCTTAACTTAGCTTTGTTGCCGCGTATGCCTATCATGATTGGCAATCACACATAAATTTGGGCTTTATAGGAGTCAGAGTCACACTTTCTAATACGACTGCACGTTAGATAGAATACTATATAGAGTACACTTTTGACTTACAAAGTTGGACAAAGATACATCTAAATAGCCAAACAAATTGTTTAAAAAACAGACATGACAATCCCGTAGATGCTTTCATGACATACTGAAGATCATAGTTTAAGTCCTTTTAATTTAAAATTATCCAGAGCTAGCAGACCAAAAGACTATTGACAATATCAATAACCGCACCAATAACCTAAATCCTTTATGAATTCCTGGCAATTACATTAGCAATTGTCTACACTTTGCATATTGAAGCAGGAGAATTCTTAAAGCAGCCAATATACAGAGCAAAGGCAAGTAATGAAGGTCATGATTTCGTAAGAAAATAAGGGAATTATTTCACAATTCAAATGGGGAGTCGCTATATCAGCTAGTACAGTGGTGAAAGCAATGTTTTCTAACTTAGCAGGTCTAACTTGGACTTGCCTGAATCACTAGGACTGACATGCCCAAGGTACTCGGACTGGCAGGTCCCTATGAAAAACATTGGGAACCGGCCGAGCCTACTGATTTCTGAGGTGTACTTCTTTATAGACTCGGTTGAGTCTGACTGGCTGATTTGGGCTTAGGCCCTTCCCAGTTCCATGACACTGGGTCCTAGTTTTCAATCATAGGGCAAAAGCAATCAAGTCTAACTAGAAGAAATATTACACGAACAGATGCATCATTGCTAGGGAATGTGCATAAAGGATGGCTCAAATACTTGAAGATTTAGTGATATAATGCTTTTGCAGTTTAATACCATAACGTACAGTTGCAAGCTGAAGTTCTTCCGAAATTCAGGCTAGTGGCTTTGTGGCAAAGAGAGTACAATGAGGAGTATCGATCCCTAAGAGGAGTATGGCCCAACCAAAGGTCGGACCAAAATCGAACCCTACTGCCAGACTACGAGTGGAACCTGATAGATTGTTTAAATATAGACAAAACCGAGAGAAAAGATTTCCAGACTGAGGGTCTACTGTAAGACCTCCCCTCCAGCAACCAGGCTTCAGTAGGGATTCTATACTTGTGTCAGAGCACTTGTGACCAGAACCGGTTAGGGGAGTTCGCCAAGCGTCACCACCATTTGCCCAACAGAGCCAAGTTTTGCTTTCTCAGAGAACGAATCCCAAGTCCTCCCTGTGGCTCTGGTCAAACGAGCTTGAGTCAAAAAAATTCCACCTCGTCGCCCGGGATATGGTTTGCCGATTGATGCCTCAGGGAGGACTTGCGATTCGTTCTCTGAGAAAGCAAAACTTGGCACTGTTGGGCAAATGGGAAGGTCCTACAGCAGACCCTCGGGAGCCTGGAAATATTTTCTCTCGGTTTTGTCTATATTTAAACAATCCATTAGGTTCCACCCACGGTCTGGCAGTAGGATTCGATTTTGTTCTGACCTTTGGTTGGGCTACACTCCTCTTAGGGATTGATATCCCTCATTGTACTCTCTTTCTACAAAGCCACTAGCCTGGATTTCGGAAGAACTTCAGCTTGCAGGCAATAGAAGAGTTTGGAACCCCTCTTTTAGACGGTCCCTTTCCGATGCTGAACTCTTGGAGTTCATTTCTCTCTCGACTTTGCTCAATGATTCGTTTCTATCCATGATCATTTGGATACCAAAAGCCTCAGGCTCCTTCTCGGTGTCCTCGTTGTACAAAATCTTACTACCATCTCATCCCTCATCCCCTTAGCTGGTTGACAAGGTATGGTCCTCAATAGCTCCACCAAAAGTGCAAGCGTTCAACTAGATCGCTTGTGCGGAAAAATAGCTAAACAATTTTTTTTTAGATCTAGATGATGGACACCCTATTGCACTACTAAGTGCCAAGCAAGACCGCTAACCTTTTAGTTCATCCCGAACTGATGAAATAGGAATACCGCAAGGTTCATCGAGGCTTTCCCTTATGGCAAACATTTCTCTTCATTCAGTTGATTTGTGGGGTCGACCGCCCATACAGGAAGTCAGTAGATCAGTTCAAGCTCAGAGGCATCCCTAGCCCGAATCAATGCATTCTCTGCCGGAGAGAAGAAGAAAACCACCCTCACCTATTCATTCATTGTGACATAGCCCATAACCTGTGAAGCAGACTCCTGAACCTGTTTGGCCTGACCTGGGTCATGCCGGCTTCAATCCCCGGCCTTTTCAACTTAGCCGTCTGTTCACCCTGGCCCAAAGCTGGGAGGCTCCTTTGGAAGGCAGCCATAGAGGCCACGATTTGGATACTATGGAAGGAAAGGAACGCAATAATCTTTCGAGAAGTCCATAGCGAAACCCCTACCTTGTTTCACAAGATCTACACTCTCGTGACTTTCTGGGTCACTAATCACAAAGCCTTCACGAACCTCCCTATCTTTTAGTTCTTTGCAAACTGGCAACAATTACTCTTGCTGCAACACATTCGCCCCACAAGCCATGGGGGATGGTCCCCTCCTCCGCCCGGTGCAATTAAGTTCAACTTCGACAGCTGCTCACTTGGAAATCCTGGCCCTTCGGGGGCTGGGCGGTGTTTAGAGACCACCGGGGGAACACCTTGGTGCTGTTCTCCAAACACATAGGCCAGGCCAACTCACAAATGGCGGAATCTTTGGATTTGCTCACGGGCATTAAGCTCTTCGATCCTGCGTGGGGTCAACCACTCCTAGTGGAAGGGGACGCTCGCAATGTAGTTTCTTGGGCTGCGGGTCTTGTCTCCCCTCCCTGGTACCTCGCCCCGATTTTTGACGAGATATCTAACCTCCGCAGGGATACAGCCGTCTCATGGATGCATATTTGGAGGGAATCAAACGGGCTGGCGGACCAACTAGCTAAGGAGGGTTCTATCACACAAGCCGATGCCACCCCTTAAGCCCGGGGGACCTTTTCACTTGCTGTTTTCATCCTTTAAGATTGTTACTGATAGTACTGCCTGGTATGGCACTTAGTTTTCAAAACCTCTGCTACCAAGGCTTCTGCTTCCGTGTTTAAGGCACTGTTCTAGCCTCCTTTTTTAGACCACACTTTTGTACAACACCTCTCCTCAGAGTTTAGTTCATCTTTCGACTAAGAGGGCCGGCCTGTGGGTCCTCTCGTCTTATTCTATGTATCTTTTTCCTCCTTAATACAATGTTAACTTTATAAAAAAGACCATAACGTAGAGTTGCAATCGAATATGTTATTGAAGAGAGCAGCATAATGTATATGTTACAATGAAGTGGAAGTTTCTTGCTTAAATGGATATTTAAGGGTTTGCTCTATTTGAGTATTCCATGTTCACATGTAACAATCTTCTTTTCTATTGAACTTCAAGAAATACTCCAAACTAGTATGTTCCACTTAAAAGATTTCCAGACAATTTTATGGCATCATGAATTCACAATTATTATCTGTTTTTTATTTTCAAATTCACAATTATAACCAGAGCAGCAGAGCCCAACAATTCAAATCCATATTCAAAATTGAAGGACACCAACCGTGAAACAAAGATAGCAAACCAATGAGTTACATTCCATTACAACATAGCTCTAACCTCTTTTTTCGATTCAAACTTGCCAGATATAGGGTGTAGGACGTAGACCAATATGCGAGAAAGGGTATAGCAGCCCCATCTCCCCATCCTTTTGGATACAGCTCATGCCTAATACATGGCTATTGTCACTTTTTCAGAGAGGGGCTTTCTACACAAAGATATGAATAAGAGGAATCTTAAAGAAATTGCAGAGGAAGCCAGAATTACCTTGAATTTTGTAGCTATTAAGAAGTCAATTAGAAGAGCATAAGAACATCTACCACGCAAGTTCTCCATCACTGACCGATACGGAAAAAACAACAGAGTTGAAACCAATACTAATGTTTTTCTACAAACTACGCCAGTAGACAAAGAAGAACCGCATAATGCGTCCTGGGATCCCAACATAGTACCATAGAAAATTGGATTTGCATTTCAATATCAAATATGAGACTCCAGAATTAAATATCAGGAGACAAGCCCAGTTTATACCTAAAACCCAAAATGAAACTGCAAATAGTTTGCAACATTTCACATTCCGAAATCAAATATCAAAGGAAGACTAAACTATACGAAGAACACATCAGAAGAACTGCAAATGCAAATCATAACAAACACCCAATTGTGGACTGCAAATACATCATTAGAATTCATATTCCGTAATCACAATTCGTCAACATTGATTGAATTAATGTATTATCTCAAATATTGCATAATGCAAACCATAGGATTCGAGATGATAATAGCCCCAAGATTATACCTTGGCTCAAACTCCCAAACTTCTACGAGCTTGTTTCCATTGAAATCATTCCACTGCACTTTGCGGTTAGAATTAAGTCTCCTGTTTAGTCCTTTCTCCGGCGGTCCTTGTCGTTTGGGGGACAATAAAGACTTCAATTCCCCATCTTCCTCTCTCTCTAGAACATTTTCACCATCATGAGGGAGAAACAATCCCCCATTTTCTCCTTTTGCAGAAGAGGCAGACTTGGGTGGTCGAGAGGGTGCCGTTTTACTGTTTAGATCCATTGATTACATGAAAAGTATGCCTTCCAAGGGTATAAGAATCCATCAATGGTTTGAAAGTTGCCATTCAATCACTCCAATTTGAACACCCATTAACAATTAAAGGATTACCAAGCTTTTCTTCACTGCACAAATGATATAATCAGAACAACAGCTGATAAAATTGAGAAAAAAAGGGAAAAAAAAATCTCCTTTCGTGGTTTCACAGTTTCACTTAATAAAAGGAGGACAAAGATTGATTCAGTAATGCAGTAAATCCACCTCCTTTCCCAAAAAAAAAGATAGTCTCGAAAAAAACCACTTTTTTTTGTTTTCCCCGTCAAGGAAAGAGGAAAGAGTTGATACGAAAATGGTAGAAATCATAGAGATACAGGTGCCAAAATAAATTTAGAACATTAACCTGGATAGGTACTTTTCATTAATGAAAAACAGGAAACCAATAAACAATGGATTATAATCCGAGATAAAGAAAAGCCCAAAAACCAAAGATTAAAGACGAAAGTGGGGTAAGTTTTAGAAGAGAATGCAAATGAGTGAAAGTGTTGCGTTGACTTAACAAAAGTCTAAAAAGGCACTTAAGGTATTAACATCTGCAAGAGAGAGAGAGGCAGAGACGACGTATGGCGGCCTCAGGAAAAGAGAACCACACCCGAGGAAGTAGAGAGAGAAAGTAAAGATAAGGAGATGCATTAGGGAACAGGTACGGCGGCTTTAGAGAGAGAGAGAGAGAGGTCCACCAATAAACGCGCTCCCTTGAAAGATGCGTGGAGTCCACATTACTTGACATAGTTGGTGGGGTTTAGGTGGGGGACACATTCTCGCATTATGAAGACAAAATTTAGAGAGAGAAATAATGCAGGGCCTTTTTCATGATTTGAACAGGTAAAAAAAAAAAAGAGGAGGATGAGATTTCTATGAGGCCTAGGTTTTATGAAAACAAGATAAAAGTCTTCACCTAATTCTAAAGGAGATAACAATGAATGCTCTAAAATTAATTTTCTGACGGACAATAAAATTTGAAATTTAAAAAATAAATAAATTTTTAAAATAAAAAAACAGTATAGATCTTGTGGATCTTTGAACACTTATTTTTATGAAAAATATTGGTAATATACTTTAATTTAAAAAAATTGTAAAAAAAAACTATGAAGTTCTCAAAACCTCGTCCACACATTTTTTTTCAATTTCGAAACATTTTCTAGATGAAAATGCCATAGTCTTTCATAGAGATAGAATTATGGTACTTATAGTACCGTGATAACTTAAACATCTATTATAATATAGAGTATGTTAAAGTATTACGTTAGTTTATGTTATTACGGTAATTAAAATACCGTAATAGATGTCTATTTTATTATGGTACTAAGAGTACCGCAATTCTATCTCTATTTACAACAGTATTTTAATTACTGTAATGGTCGCAATGCATTACTGTAGAAAGATTGCCATAAATGGTATTTTCATCCAGAAAATGCCTAAAATTGGAAAAAATAGTGTGGGCGAGGTTTTGGGAAGTTGGGGTTCTTTTTTTTGAATTTTTAAAATTAAGTTATATTAATGATAATTTCCCTTATTTTTTAAAAGATCTAGTTTCTATGCGGTCAAGCCCACATATGTAGAAATGCGGGCCTCTTAATAAATCTATTTTTGAGATGGATTTTAAGACTTAATTTTTAAAGACGTGTAATCTTTAACACGGAGATCATGAATATGAAAAAATAAATAAATTTTTAAAACTAAAGAAAACCTTTGGACCAATAGTTTCCATTGTTTTTAGATGGAAGACCTACTTGTATCCATCTTTAAGATGGATGCTTTTACACTTTTTGGACCGCATATTTAGAAATGCAGTCCATCCCGCATGAAACAATTTTTTATTTTTAAAACAAAATGGACGGTCTAAATAATTTGTTACAATATACATTATTTTTTTGAGCTTGAAATCTTAATGGTTTTTTACAACCATAATGTTCAAGTCGAGATGATAAATATAAAAGGTGTTCATTGCTTGACTTAGAATTTACCATAAGTTATGAGTTAAGGATTTACTTATTTTGATAGAATTGCAGCCCTATCAAACCATTTTTCAAAAAACATAAAAAGATTGATTGATAAAGCGGATCGTCCATCCTAAATCTCGATTTAGATCGGCGATTCGAATTGTTCTCGAATTATTTAGATCGGTGGTCTAAAAAAAATGAAAATAAAAATTAAAATAGAAGTTTATAAGATGTGAATATCGATATAACCACAAAAAATATTAGATACACTTAAAAAAATAAACAATACAAAAAGATGAATTTTAGGAGAAGCTGAGTTGGACCCATAACATTTCAGAACCGAAGCATCCAAATGGGCAATCCGGATTGAAAATCGCTAGGCTTTTATTTGGACCCGACGCCCACTCTCGCGCTATTATACTTGTTATACGGCTGCAGGTTGGGGGGTTTTTGGGTGGGCAAATTGGAATGCAATGGTACATACGGCTCAATAAATTATGAAGCATGGTGCACTGAATTACATTTAAGGTGAAAATATTCTATCCTTTTTTTAATTTTAATTTTAATTTTAATTTTTTTCTATACTTTTTTTTTGTTTTTGTCAAAAGAAGCTACTTCTTTCGAGCAATGATATGATGCAACGGTTGTATCATTGTTCTATAATATAACATCACTTTTAGAAAATCATGTTTATGGTATTTGTATGACCTCAAATTTTGTACACACACTATTTTCATCTCAATAATCAATCCAAAAAAAAAAGTTTCATTTGAACCTTAGATATGGTCCAAATGAGTCCCCTTCAAAAACGAATCTAGGCCATTCATTTTGTGAATTCCAAGATCTTAGCCTTCATAAACTCAAAATCATTTTTTTCTTTTTTAACATTGTTCATCTAATGATAATAGGGAAATTATCGCTAATATACCTTAATTTTAAGAAAATCGCAAAGAAACCCCAAACTCCCTAAAACCTCGCCCACACCTTTTTTTCCAACTTTTGATATTTTCTGGACAAAAATACCCTTTACGGTAGTCTTTCTACCGTAATGCATTGCAACCATTACGACAATTAAAATACCGTTGTAAATAGAGATAGAATTATGTTACTTCTAGTACCGTAATAATATAAACATCTATTACGGTATTTTAATTACCATAATAACATAGGGGTCATTTGGATTGTTTGTGAAATATATTACTGGCGTAATACATTACTGCATAATTCATTACCTGTAAATGAATTGTTATTGTTTGGGTAGTATTTGTATTACTGCGTAATACATTACTTGTAACTGGATTGTTACTGTTTGGATAGTATTTAGATGCAACCTGGGAAATACATTATTATTGTTTGGCTATGTATGGAAGAAATATAGGAAATACATTATTAACATTTTACCGGCACGTGACGATAAACTATCATTTATTTCTTTTTTGTCATAAAATTCCACTAAAATGTAGAATTATCATTTCTTTTTTTTTTGTTACAAAATTCCACTGAAATACGAAATTAAAATCATCATCAAACTATTCCAAAAAGATTTCTTATAATAAGGTCATCACCATTCCAAAAAGATTTTCTAATAATAACTTGTACCATTTTATCGTCATCATGACATCATTTCCTACTTATTTTACATGCCTTTGGCACTTACATAGAATCACATGTCTTCTAACATGACATTACTTTCAACATGATAAGTCATTGGAACAATATGATTAGAATAACATGATTTTATTATGATAAGCCTTATTTTTAATAGAAGTCTTTCAAATGTTTCTCTATATAATTTCAAATAAACAATACCTTTGTGATATTAAATTCAAAATCTCTATAGTAAGAGTTAAAAAATGGGAAGAAGTTTGATTAGTAAACTTAGAAGGTTTGGTAATTGCAGTATAAAATTTTGAGGTATTGGGGGAGACTAAAGAGGTATGTTATTTGAATTGATATTTTAGTAATCTCTTCTAAGAATTATGTTGTATGAAATTTTTTATTACGATTATGTTGTGTAATTTATTATTTATTATTTTTGTTTTTATATGAAAGTTGATGTTTTCAGATGAGGAGACGAGCTTAAAAAGGGAGGGATCACGTATGCTAGTTATTATGGAGGGTGGGGCTTACAAGACAAAGAGAGGGTTTTTTTAATTAGGGATATAGATTTTTTATTTTCCAAAATTACCCGTCTTCCCGTAGATTTTTCATTTCCCAAAATTACTTGTCACTCCACGTAGATTTTTCATCCTATAATAGATATCTTGATTTTTGGGAAATCTCACCTAATCTCTTTATATTTACGTACGATTAAGTGTACCAAACCGTGAAAATACCGTATTTCTTTTAATCTATTGCCACGTAATAAATTTTCAGTTACCCAAACAGCCCTATAAAGTATTATGGTAATTAAAATACCATAATACTTTAAAGTAGTATTACGGTAATTTAAGTACCGTAATATTGCCCAACTCAACAAGAAAGATTTTTTACTCTCTCGGGCCTACTATTTATTTACTCCCTCGACAAAAATCCACACTAGCTATAATTTTTTAAATCTCAAATTTTTAGGATATAATCTCTATTTAATTTTTATATGGTTATCAAAATTTTAGAACAAGAACATGCTTAAATAGGTGTTTTTGAGCGAGAAAGTAGATCCACATCGCTCTCCTATGGGAACATAGATTTTTTGAAAATGGTAGCTGTCATGATCCCACTCCCCGGCCCCTACCGTTCTTGTCGGAGGGTGGCAGGGTACAGGTTCGTGATTTAAATGCAGTGAATACTACTCAGGTCGGAGTGGCTCGTTGCTTTAATAAAGTTGTGAACTAAGCAAACCAAGAAAGTAAAAAACCTCTATAAAAAAATGCACAAGATCTAGATAAAATAAAATTGAAAATTATATTATTACATAAACAACTTGGAATACTATAACTGTTCAACTCACTGAAGGCCTAGAAACACAACATCTAACTTTAATATAGACAAAAACATGGCCCATGGCCGTTAGACACATACAAGCAAAAAAATTTCCTCGGCAGGTACGAACCTTCGTCAACCAGATCGATCACCCTACCAGTTGTTCTTGACCTACAACTTCTACTCTATAGGGATGAAGATGAAAAAAGAGGAATGAGCTATAAAGGCTAGTAAGATGATCTAGTTACTATGCATTAGTAATATATCCATCCAGGCATCATGAATAATTCTTTTGATTATAAGCAATTATAGTCGGAAAAGCTTTCAATTTAGCAATCTTATCAATATAATAATCACGGATGGTATATCGAACATCATGGTTATCATATAATCAATATAACTATCATCATTCACATTCACACATCCAATCATTAATTAGACACTTGCATTGCAAGGCACGGTTTACTATTTACTTATTATAATATACTATATTTCGGGGGGTGCAATCCACCTATTATACTTTCCACCTGATTCCCTTTCTATCCTACATGGAGTTTACAAATATTGTCGGCCTTACTCTCTTATCAAGTCATATCATACCACCACGGATAACTCGTGCATGGCATCATTGAATCAATTCACTATTATCAATCACAAAAGAAGGTCATGCTTGGAGCATGTTTCAGATCACTCTTCACTTAGCATTCATTCTTTGGCACTCAAGCCCTTCGCATTGCCAGCACATAGAATTTCATTGCATAACATTCATCATATGACACTTCAGCGCATTAATATT